AGATAAAGAATTACATAAATTAATTTTGCTTAAGGATGAAGTTACCTTACAAAACTGCCAATTCCAGTAGAATGCCCAGCCTTCCCAGACATGGTCTCTAAGTTCAGATTTAAGCCCCACTCCACCCCCTATCAGTTGGGCCACCCTTACCTTGTTGTCTCTGGTCATCAGTCTTCTGAAATGTGAAACAATAGGAATGGCATTCACCCTGTGGCTTTAACAAGGGCTGAAGCTCTTTAGCTAATGTCTGATGCATGGTTAAGTAATTGTTTTCATTTAAGATTTACCACTTTCTATTGTACCCAGGGCAGACTCATAGTCTATCTGTCTGTCTGACTCAGCTTTGAAGAATTGAGTGGCTTAGAAATGTGATCAGGCTAAATACTTAGATTCAGTGGAGGCAAATTTTAGCCTTCTTATTCTCTTCTCTTGCCAGGCAATTCACAGATTGGTCCTGAAGGGCTTATATATGCTAGGAAAATACCACTGAGGTCTATTCCCAGCACTTTTTTTTTTTTGGTTTTGTTTTGATTTTCAAGACATGGTTTCTCTTTGTAACAGCCCTGGCTGTCCTAGAACTCATTCTGTAGACCAGGCTGGCCTTGAGTTTACAGAGATCCACCTGCCTCTGCCTCCAGAGTGCTGACATTAAAGGCACCTGGCTAGGGAATTGTCTCCATTGTTAATTGATAAAGGGAAACCATTCCCTAGGCAGAAGGTCCTGAGGGGAGAAAGCCAGATGAAGTTAGCTGGAAAGCAGGCAGGCAGCACGGTGCATTTATTTTCCTCTCCTCCTGACTGTAGATGTAATTTGACTAGCTGCTTGAGGTCCTCCTTGACTTCCCCAAAACACTGGACAGTAACTTGGAGCTGTGAACAACGGATGGCAACCTGGAGTTATGAGCCAAATCCACTCTTCCTCTTCTGAGTTACTTTGTGACAGGTTGTTTCATCACAGCAACAGAAAATGAACCTAAAGCCCCCCCCCCAATAACATGAAAGTCCTTTGCCCTTTTGGGACAAAACGTGCCTCACTTGGTGACCACTGTCTCCATGGCCCCAGGATGAAGACTCGTCTTTTTTCTAATAGAAAATTAGAAAAAATTAGTCTGAGTATATGGGCCATCAAGGGACAAACTGGAAGGGCAAACAACTTCCCCTACTAAAATCCATCTAAGATTCCTCTTTATTTCCCCAACAGCAATAACTTTTAAAACTGGATGCACAAGGCTGGAGAGACGCTTGGTGAGTAACAGTGTTTGCTATTCTTGCAGAGAGGATCTGAGCTATGATCCCAGTAACCACACTTAGATGCTCACAACTACCTGTAACTCCAGCTCCAGGGGAGTTACAGTTACGAGTTTCTTTTCTATGCTGTGACCAAAACACCATGACCAAGGCACCATAATAAAAGAGAGTATTTAGCTGGGCAGTGGTGGTGCACATGTTTAATCTCAGCACTCTGGAGGCAGAGGCAGGAAGATATCTGTGAGTTCGAGGCCAGCCTGGTCTACAGAGTGAGTTCCAGGACAGCCAGAGCTGTTACACAGAGAAACCCTGGGGAGAGAGAGAGAGAGAGAGAGAGAGAGAGAGAGAGAGAGAGAATTTAGTTGGGATTCTCATTTCAGATGATTAGAGCCCATGAGAGTGAAGCAAGAGCACAGTGACAGGAAAGATTAGGAGCTCACTTCCTGATCCACAAATAGGAAGCAGCCAGTGAGCTGCTGGGAATGGCAAAGCCAACCCTAGTGACACACCCTCTCCAACAAAGCCACCTCCTAATCCTTCCCAAATAGTTCCACCAATAGGGACCAAGTATTCGAACTTGAAGGCCATTCTCATTCAAACCACCTCAGCAATATGACACCTCTGGCCTCTGTGGGTACTTGAACTCATGTGCGCACACCCCTGCAAGATACACATGCATTTACATCATTAAAAATGATAATAATGATAAGACATCTGGGCAAGGTGGTGCTTGCATATCTTAAATTCTAGAACTAGGGTGTGGGGACAGAGACAGGCAGCTCTTTGTGAGGCCAAAGCCAGCCTGGTATACAGAGTTAGTCCCAGGATAGTCAGAGCTACACAGAGAAAAACAAAAATGAAAAGCAACAACAAAAATAAAGCCAGGACTTGGGAGGCAGAGGCAGGTGATCTCTGTGAGTCCAGGACCATCCCGATCTATATAGCAAGCTTCAGGCCAGTTAGAATTACATAGTGAAGCCCAGAACTCCTTGTAAAAGCCCCTACAACACACACCTGTTCATGGAGAAACCTTACAGAGAACAGAGAACGGAGACAAGTCCAGGATGTCAGATTTACAAATGAAGCTGCAACCCATATACTCTCCTGGCCCCGACCCCAAAGAATTCCAAACAGTTTACTGCCCTAGGCTTAATGGGCACCTTTTTTCTACATCCCTCTGTATCCTGATTCCAATGCCTGTTTGCTTTTGATGACCCAACTTCCAAGGTTATCCAACTCACCTACGTGCTCCTGCCCCCAGGGATTCAGAGACAGTCCTTATAATGATTTGAATGACAGATGTCCCCCATCATCTCAGATATTTGAATACTTGGTCCCAGTTGGTGGTGCTGTTGAAGAGTTGTGGCCTGCTGGGAGAAATATGTCACTGGGGGATAGGTTTGAGAGTGTAAAGACTTGCAGTGTTTCTAACCTCATCTACCATGCCTGCTGCTTTTCTCTAGGAATCTGTTATGCTAAATACCTCATAACCACTCAGCCTGAGATCGGCCTCTCTATGTAGATGATTATTTCCCAGGGCAGACCTTCAGATTTTATCCTACGGGGCCCCTGGGATCCCTCTGGACTATTCAGACAGGGTTATCTTCCAGCAAAACATTTATTTGGACTCAGGTATGGCCCTTCCACTGGTGTTGGTTTAAAAAGGGCAGGCTTTTTATTTGTGTGGCTCCTATCTTTGCCTAATGCTGTTCATTCTCTGGCAGAGTTGATACAGCCTAGCAAATGTCTTCTCTGATACACAGACCTTTAAGGTCCAAACTTTCCTCCATCAGGTTTTTCCAATTTGTGATCCTTCCTAAAACAAGCATTCTCTACTTCAAGATGCTACTCTACATGTGACCAAACCCCTGCTTCTCCAAGCTTTTCTGTGGATCCACCCATGACCATTGGGGCTATCTCGAAGAGTTTCTTCACCATTACTAGTTTCACTAAATTTCCCAAGTCCTGCAGTTTTCTTGGGTCTTCAGGCCACTGAAACTCAACAGCAGAGCTTTTACTCGTTGTCTGATGCAGTCCTTCAAAACTAGAGGCCTGGGCTAGAGATGGCTCAGTGGCTAAGAGCTTTGTTTCAGAGAACATGAGTTTACGTCCCAGCACCCATTTGACTATTCCCAACCATCTGTAACTCCAGTCCCCAGTGACCTGACACCCTCTTCTGGCCTCTACAGGTACCAGGCCCATAGGTAGCACACCAGTATACATGCAGATAAAACACACATACACAGGAAATTAAAACAAACAAAAGCCTTAGACTTCCTTACTGCTCAGGCAAGTGACACTTGCAATCTTACTAATGAACCCTGTCAATTCTGGACTCCAGGGTGGGGGGGTGAACAACTATCAAAAAACAAAGATAACCTTATAAAGGTTTAGGCTGGGCAGTGGTGGCGCACGCCTTTAATCCCAGCACTCGGGAGGCAGAGGCAGGCAGATCTCTGTGAGTTCATACCCAGCGAGTTCTGGGACAGCTGAGGCTATACAGAGAAAACCCTGTTTCAAAAAACAAAACAAAACAAAACAAAACAAAAAAAAACAAAAGCAAAAAAGAAAGGGTTTTTTAATGGATAACATAGCTCAAGGTTCTTGGCACGATCAGATCCCAGAAGAAAGAATATACTGGATTTGTTTCTTTCTACCACCTTCCATACATTGTATTATTGATTTTGATTTGTATTTGCTTGTTTTATCTTAGAGTGTACCTTATTTGTGTGTTCTTGATTGAAAATCATACATCATCCATACAACCTGAGGTGGATCTTTCACCTAACTGATACCATAGGTCATTGACGGATATTTTAATGGGGGTCCTAACTGCTGTCAATATTAAACACCCCTCCTCAGCAGGAAGTAGCTTGATTGATCTATTCCCTCCCAAAGTCATTTAGGGTCACCTGTTCTAAGGAGGGATTGAGACAGGAAACAGTGTTTGTCAGGCAGTTAGGGCCCAGATAAGACTCTGGCACCAACCATCCAAAAACACTGACATGGTCACAGAGCTCTCTCTTTTCTCTCTCTCTCTCTCTCTCTCTCTCTCTCTCTCTCTCCCTCCCTCCCGTTTTTTTTTTTTTTTTGAGACAGGGTCTCTGTAGCCAAAGCTGTCCTGGAACTTGCTATGTTGACCATGCTGGCCTAGAACTCAATCACTCTTTGTTCCAAGTGCTGGGGACAAAGATGGACATTACTATGTCCAATCCTGGAGTCACAGCAGCTTGCAACTGCAACCACTGTAACTCACTATTACAAGTGACTTCAAGTGAATTTACCCCTTTATGCTGACCCCAAGACAATGTCATCTTTGGCTACTTAAGGAGTTCAAGGCCAGTTTAAGCTAAATCCCTGTCTCAAAAACAAAACACAAAGCCAAATGAACCTGAATGGTTAGCCTCTCCAGACTGATTTTTCTCTTCAGATAAACAACTACGCTCTGCCATCAATGTCTGGCCTATGTATAATATAGGGGTTCAAAGAGAAATAGATGTCCCAGATCGCTTGGCGTTGGAAAGGGGTTTAGTTTTAGTCACTAACTCTAACTGCTCCCTTCCATTCAGGTCAGGAGGCGGATGGAAGATGGTAGGGATGTGTCAGAGTTGGCTTTAACGGGTGAAGGGCCCTTGCTCTTCTGAACACCAGAACACTATCTGGAGGAAAGCATCGCACTGGGTTCCTTCCAGTTACTCTCTCAGTTTAGTGGTACAGAATCAGGACCCAGGTCTGCTGAGCAGAGGTGCAAACTAATTCGGGATTCCTGGACTGGTCCCCAGGAGCCTCCTGCGGGACAGCAGCCTGGGCGGCCGCGCAGCGCCCTCTAGTGTCCGGTGGCTGTCCTGCCGTCCCGCCGTGAAGCCCGCTGGAGACTCCGCTTCCCGCGGCGGGAGGGAGGGGTGGGGGCGGGACGAAGAGCCGGGGCAGGCACGGAGGAGGCAGGGGGCGGGACCCAGTGGGAGTGTCTCCGAGAAACTCACGGCCTTCGGCGGCTTCCCGGCCCGGGAAGTGAGCCCGGGTCGGCGACCACAAACAGGAAGTCGGGCTGTAACAAAGAGCAGAGGGCGGGGAGCCGCAGAGCTCCCGGGCGCCCGGCGGTGGCAGCAGGTGGAGAGCTGCCCCCGACAGGCGGGCGAGCGCACCTGACTCTTCCGCTGCCCAATCCGACCCAGCCCGGGACGCGAGGAGCAGTGGGCGCGGCCCCCCTGGGGAAAGGTTACTGGGACCTCCCAGGAGCATCCCCTCCCTGGGAAGGGACAGTCACAGTTCCCTGAGTGAATCACTTCCATCTCCTTCCCGGATTGCAGCGGGTCACACGGGGCGGAGGGCTGGGCCCACAGATGGTGCAGACCCACCGGGAGACAACACATAACGAGAGGAGGGAGTTCGCAGAGGGCTCTGTAGGGCTCCTGGCACTTGTTGCTTGAGTCCTGTGGCCTCAACTAGCCTGAGCAGAAGCTGGTAGGAACCGTTGTACCCCTGGACTAGATCCACTGTGGCCTTGCCTGAGCAAGCCAATAAAGACACCACGGCCTTTTTCATGGTCCCTCCCAACCCAGAGGACAAGGATCTCCAGGTGGTCACCAGCCAACAAGCTCTGGAAAACCAGCTGTCATTAGGGCCGAAGGTCACTAGGAGGTCAGACTGATTCTTTAGAGAGGACAGTAACTCCAGGCTGCTGAGGAACTTCTAAACTCAAAAAATATATATATACAAACAAAGACGAGCATTTGCTAGGCTACTGAGAGCACTTTACAGCTAGTCTAAAACTATAGTCTAATCTTGTTTGAATGTCAAGTCTCCCAGACGCTTGAGTTATCAAGTGAGCCTGGCCCCTCAAGGAGAAACCTTCAGGAAATCCTGAGAGAGAAGATTATAATTTGTTCACACCCCAAGTGAGAACTGGAACCCACTTCTGAGTTGCTGGGGAGAGGGTCTGGCATGGGCTGCAGATTGAAGTACCAGCAAGCATACCACACTAAGTCTTTGCATGGGTTCCCACTTGCACCAGGAAGCCAGGGTGAGGTGTTGGGAGCTCTCAGCTCCCCAGTTAGGATATCTGAGGTGGTAAAGGGTTGAGCCAGCAACCAGGACCCCTCCAGGGCTCTTCTCTGACCATCTGGCAATGTAACACAGCCTGGTGGTGTGGACGTGCAGGCTTGCGGGTGTCCTACCTGTCCCCCACATGGGAGCCTCGTCATCTAGCTTTCTGTCCCAGCCCTGTTTCCCCCGCCCCCAGAGCCTAGGAGCTGCTTTCCTGTTTCATTTTGGGCAGGAAGAGTGAGGTCGTGTTGTTCTTCCCCTGCTGTCGGCTCAGGGCTCAGGCTGTGGGAACGGTTCCCTGAATGTTTTCCTGTTTGATACCCTGTGTGTGCGGTGGAGCAACAGAGAATGATGACCAAGCCGTGGAACATGTGCACGCTGCTGGCACTCTAATAAACACCCAGATCCTGGGGCACCACGATGGAGCTGGGGGTGAGGGCAGGTCTGCCTCCCACAGTGGGATTCATCAGGAAGGTATCTGTTGAGTCTGCTTTGCTTTCTGTAAACAGGCCGAGAGCTGGGGGCATCTGAGCAGCTCCCTCATTTGGGGTTGTTGTTTTGGTTTTGGTTTTTCATCATTTGCTCACCATGGGGTATGTCTGTGGCTGCAGAGAGAGGATTGGCACCCTAGGGACTATCCTGTGCCTTAGAGGAAGCTGGGCATGGAGTAGATTGGAAATTCCCCCATTAGTGTCTCAGCCTGAGCAACCCAGGCTCAGGGAAGCTCTGATCCCCCGACTCCTTGTAGCCTCACTCATTCATCCCCTCATCTCTGTCCAGCTTCGAGAAAGACAAAGCCCAGGGCAAAGCCCCTACCCATCTCCATTTCAGGTCAGTTCCACACTAGTACTGGGAAAACAGCAGGTGCTAGTGTAGGAGGAAGTGCCCAGATGGAACAGGACTTAGCTCCTGATCTAATAAGAGTCCTTTTGAATAAGTAATGAGAGAGAGTCCTCCTCAGTAGGAGAAGATCAAGGCCCCCATTCTTCTTCTCAGACTTGGGGGAAAGTAGAGAGAGATTCCAGTCAGGGGAAAGATAGCCCCATGGAATGGTGGGAGCATAAAGTGGGATAATGGCACCCAGTCTCAAAGTCACTAGGCTTGGAAGGTTGGCCTAGGCTGGGGATGAGATGGATGAGGTTAGGCTCTCCAAAGATCGGACTGAGACACAGGCCTTCCATACAAAATGCCAAACCCAAGTGTGCGAAGGCCCGAGGGGGTCCAGGAGGGCATTCAAGAGCTGGGGCTTCCGACTATTTGGGGTGGGAAGGCAGGGAAAAGATTCCCACTCCACCATTACAAAGACAGGACCCAAGAAGTAATAAATTCCTGTACAATCTATTCCATATTATAAATACACATTATATACAAAATAATGTTATAAAATGTAGAAAGGTCAGTGCTTCTGATTCTTAAATTATCAAAATACTAGATTCCAAAATAAACTACAAAAAAACACCTCATATTATTGATTTCTGAAGATCGGCTTCAAGGGTGGTCTGGGGCAGCAGTGGGCACTGATAGAGCCCAGGCTCAAGGGCACAGAAATGGGCACAGGGAGGAAAGGGCCTAGGCCACAGCAGCACCCGCTATCTCCCTCAGTGGAATTTTAACATGATGGCCCTCAGCTCCCCAGTTAGGCCTGAAACCCTAGCTGGCAAAAGAGGCAGGCCCTAAGCCCATCTGTTCACACAAGCCCAGAGGCCCCAGGACCAGTGAGAGGCGATCTACCAACTTTTGCCCAGAGGGTCCAGGCTAGCTGGCGCCCCCCATGCTGTGGATGGGGGCAGGAACCACTTCTCTCACGTCACATACAGGGTAGCTCCTAACAAAAGCCAAACTCCAAAGCTTTCCTGCCTACAGGAGGCCCATTCCTTGCAAGCCTCATCTCTCCTCCCTCATTTGGACCCAGCTGTCATGATGGAGCCTGGGCAAAGGCACTTTGGAAACACAGATGCCCATGGGAGCTACAGCAGCTCCAAGACCTACTAGGGCCACCACTTCTCTCTGAAGAACAGTCAAGAGCCCCATGATGGCCACTGTTGGCAGAGCAAGTCCAAGTGGCACCTTAGGTATCAGCTCAACTGATGTCCTCTGGTTCCTCAGCTCTCTCCCTTGTTGGTAGGGCTGCCCATCTGAAGCCAGGCAGACTCCTGAAGGCATGCAGAGGTGGTGCAACTCTTGGCAGGTTCACAGTCTGTCCAGTTCATGCCATTCCCTCCTCCTCCTCCTCCTCAGAGCAGCACTGTGCATACTAAAGACGTCCCATCCAGGATGCAATGTAAACAATGCAGAAGGAAGACCCAGCTGCTGGGCCGAAGCTGGGTGTCTGGGTAGGCTCGTGCCTTATACCTGGGGAGCACAAACAAAATGGGGAAATGGTCATCTTGGGGATAGGCACTGTCTCCGGAATGCTTTGGGCCTCTCTGGGAGAAGTCACTGAGGGAGGGGCAGTCCCCTTAGTCTTCTTCCCTAAGACAACAAGTGTCTGGGAGTTTGCACTAATGTGGGAATACATTGGAGGAAGCCAGTGACAAGGAACAGGTAGACACAATCAACTGTCTTCACCCAAATGCAAGTGGGAAACAGTTCCTGAAAGGTAGCCAGTACCATGGCTGTCCTTCCTAGCTCTACCAGAGGTTCCCCTGGCTCCTTAATTCTGTCCCTTTCATTGGTGCAGCTGCCAGGTCAGGCATACCACCTAGTTCTTGTTTCACACCCTCTGTGGCAATAAGGCCAGCAGGGGACCTAAGAGCCCACCCCTTCAGGCATGAGGTTGCTGGTAAGCAGGGCATTTTTTTCCATCCACACAAGGCAGGAGGGGACATGCTGACAGAGAAGGCCAGCCCAGAACTCACCTCTGTGGCAATGACACATTCGTTCCTCTCTTCTGATATCAAGCACACTGACTGGTACATGGAGTCCCTGGGGGAGCATATCGCTGATATTCGACACTCTGGCTTTTCACTGAAGGAACACAAGACAGGCAGGTAAGAATGAGGAAGAGGGAGGAGGGGAGCCTGGAAATGCAATGAGGTGCTAATCTAGATCCCAGAGAGTTAAAGGGTATGTACTGCAGTGGTTCAGAATGATGTAGGCCGGGGATGCTCAATGCTGACCTTCAGAACAGGCCCCTTAAGAGAGCCACCAGACTCAACCAAACCAGAAAAGTCATGTGGCCACTAGAAAAAGCGAATATTGCCACTAGAGAGAAGCCATACTGTAGAAAGATGGAAGTCACAAGAGATACCCTGTAGACAGTTGGTATTTGGGAGTGAAGAATGAATGAATGAGCGAGAGGGCTTCTAGTAATGGATCCCTAGAAGAATCTGGGCGGTGGTGGCACACACCTTTATTCCCAGCACTCGGGAGACAGAGGCAAGTGGATCTCTGAGTTTAAGGCCAACCTGGTCTACAGAGTAAGTTCCAGGACAGCCCTGGGGTTTCTACAGAGAAACCCCATTTTAAAAATAAAAATTCCCTAGAAGAATTCTTAAAAAATTATTAAATTGGCCGGGCAGTGGTAGTGCATGCCTTTAATCCCAGCACTCAGGAGGCAGAGGCAGGTGGATCTCTGTGAGTTTGACACCAGCCTGGTCTACAAGAGCAAGGTCCAGGACAGCCTCCAAAGTCACAGAGAAACCCTGTTTCAAAAAACAAAAAAACAAAACAAAACAAAAAATTAAATCGTTGTGTGTGTGTGTGTGTACACATGTGTGTGTACACGTGTGTGTGTATACACATGTGTGTGCATATGTGCCTGTCACCGCACCATTGTGGAAGTCAGAGGGCAGCTTTCAGAAATCTGTTCTCCTCTTCTAACACATGGGTCCTAGGGATCAAACTCAGGTCTTCAGTCTTGGTAGTGTGCACATTTACCTTCTGAGCTGTTTCGTTTTGTTTTTGAGACATGCTGTGCGGTGTTAACCAGGATGGCATCTAACTTGCCATCATCCTGCCTCAGCCTAAGTAATTAGGACTACAAGTATGTGCCTGACTCCCTACAGAAATGCAGCTGGGATGCCTTGTTGTTCGTACCACATCCCTACTGTTTAAAAGCAGTCAGGGCCTGATGACAGTCTCCCACTCAGCCTGGGAGACACAGTCAAACTATGTAAGGGTCCATAGACACGCCCTGGCTTCCAAGTATGGCTTACCTGTGTAACCGAAGTGGCACCTTCTCTCCTAAGCTCTTGTCACTGTGAAGATACTTCCCAGACATGGCTCCCCGCCCGAGGGGTCCTGGAGCCAGATTATAATCCAATGTGTGGTTCTGCGGTTTGCCACAATTGGACTTGTCCAGGCCACAGTCCACTTCTAACTCCTTCTTCTGGTTTGTGTTCTTGAGCTGGGCAGCAGGGATTAGGTTGTCCTTCTGGAAGTCCGACAAGTTGTTCATGGCCTCCCTGCTGCCATCATCGGGCCGCCGAAGCCTCAGTTGCCGCACAGCTACTGCCACCATACCCAGCAACACCAGCAGTACCACCAGCCCCACACCCAGGGAGACAGCGACCCAGGGGAAGCTGGGTGGCAAACCCACGGGAAACTCGCAGCGGCTGCCCACAAAGCCGTAAGGACAGTTGCAGACGAAGTTGTCTAGGGAGATGCCATTGTAGCAGGTGGCCCCGTTGAAGCAGGGCCCTGAGGCACACGCATCGCTGGTTATCCGCACCTCACAGCGCCTGCCAGAAAAGCCAGCAGGGCAGGTGCACACCGGCCCATTCTCCAGATCGTGGCAAGTGCCCCCATGGGCACAGGGGCTTCGGGCACAGTCGCTGATGTGGAGTTCACAGTGGGCGCCTGTGAATCCAGGTCGGCAGCGGCAGGTACGGCTTGGACCTCTGTTTAGGCACTGGCCCCCTGTAAGGACACAGGACCCAAGTCAGCAACAGCCTGCAAATTCCCAGGTGAAGGGCATGGGGCCTAATCCATGAGTTTAGGCCATTCTAACCCCATGTGTCCAGCCTGCATGGACAGAGCCCTAAACAAAGACTGTGAAGTCTTGGAGTTGGGCTGACCCTGGTTCTCCATGTCTCAGTGGATTTGGTATAGCAGTCACTGGCATCTTACAGAACTTTAGGGTAAGACAGATATGCTTGGCTTGCTCTCTCTAGCAGGGGGATCTGACACCTGTGGCTTTACTGACCCCTTGGCCTCAGTTTCTTCACCTGTTAAACTTCACAGGTGGCTCTGAGACTCAGGTAGGGAAGATAAAAGGGCAAGTGCAGACTACCTACAGGAAGTGCAATGTAGGCACAATTCTCATTTAATTTAATCTTTGCTACCACACCAAAGACACTTAGTTACATCTTCCCATTCAGGGATGATAAAACTGTGGCTCCAGGGAGCTGAGTGGAAACACTGCCACCCCCAGGCCCTCAATAATTCCCGAATGGCTGTCTGCCTGTCTGCCTTATAGACAGTTACCTGTTGACCAAATGCTCGAAGATCACCAATTTTTTGAGACAGGGTTTCTCTGTGTAGCTTTGGAGCCTATCCTGGCATTCGCTCTGTAGACCAGGCTGGCCTTGAACTCACAGAGATCCGCCTGCCTCTGCCACCCAAGTGCTGGGATTAAAGGTGTGCGTCACCAACCTGTTTTGTGTCTCAAAATGTGCTGGATATTCTAGATACTTAGTGCCACACTCATCCTAGGTGAGTGTGGGGAAAGATGAGGCTTCACGAGTCAGAGCTCTAACCATCACTGCTCCCTTGACAAGAGATATGAAGCCTCCATCATTCTTCTTTCTAATTCAAGGCTTCCTGAGGAGGGTCACTTGGCTATTCTCATCAGACCAGGGCTCATCCATGGGAATAAAAATGGAAGTCATACAGGATGGGGCACTACCCCTCACCTACGGCCTGTTGCTGACCTGATTCTCCTCCAATGTGCCACCCCCAATTATACAAGCTTTTCCCCCTCCAAAGCAAAGGAGAGTCCATTTCAGTCTGAGTAGCTGACAGGGCTCTCGCTTAGGCTCTCTGGCCCCAGGGTCAGTTCAGCACTTAAGTAAGGTAACAGAAAGGACTTACCATTGGCACACGGGTTGCTGGTGCACCTGTCTACTTTCTTCTCACAGTTGGAGCCAGTGAAATTAGGGGGGCATTCACAGGCATAACTGGCCCCCTGGTTTCGCTCCCGGCAGGAGCCCCCATTGAAGCAGGGTGAGTCTGCACAGGTCAAGGTACTATGTTCACAGTGCTGGCCATAGTAGCCTGGGGGACACAGGCAGTGGTAGCCATCCTCCTGGTCCTGGAGAGAGACCATAAACAGGCTAAAGTTAGACCCTGGGGATGGGGCAAGGACATATGAGATTGGCAGCTAGCCTCTTCTTACCCATAGTGCCTATCCATGGATACACATCCAAAGACTGCCTGGATGCTACTTAATTAGACCCCTGCCTCCCTGGGCAGGCTTGGGTCTCACCTTACAGCTGCCGCCATTTCGACAGGGGTTGCTGTCACACTTGCTGAGTTCCAGCTCACAGTCCACACCAGTGTAGCCTGGGCGACAGGTGCAGGTATAGCTCCGCTGTCCACTGTTGGAACATGTCGCTCCATTCTTGCATGGAGAGTGGTGAGTGCAGTAATTGAGATCTGTGGAGACAGGAAGCATTCAGCTGAGTAAGACCAGAAACTGTCCCACCTACCTGCAAAGAAGTCACCCTGACTTGGCCCAAAGAAGCTTCAACTCAAAGTTTTCCAGACAGTGAAGTCATGAGTGTTGAAGTACCCTAAGCCACATATAAGCTGCACAAATATAGGAAAGTCAAGCGCAATTGGTCAACGTCCTGCTGTGTAAGCGCACAAACACTACCAGTCACAGTAGGATGAAGAGGAGAAGGAGGTGAAGTCAAGGCCCCTAGCCAATGAGGAAGTCACGAAAGGCTTCGTGGAGGAGGTGCAAGCTTATGAGGACCTAGAAGGAGTAAAATTTCAACAGGTGGAAAGAGTAGCAGGGAGAAGACAGCCAACACAGAATCAGGCATTTTCTAAAGGAGGTGTTAAAAGTGTGTTTTGAGTGATAGCTATTTATTATTGGAGAAGAACAATGAGGGAAAGCCAGACAAAGCAAACAGAGGGCCTATAAGGGTTGTTTGCATACAATGAGTATATGACTGTACCACCTGGGAGCAAATATGGACTGCAGAAAGGGAGAGAGCTGTTCTGTCTGTGTGTGTGTGTGTGTGTGTGTGTGTGTGTGTGTGTGTTGGGGACAGGAAAATGGGGGAAGTTCTGTATGGAGCGGGGAAGGGGGGAGAGAGAGAGCATACAAGGACTGAATTCCATGCTGGTAACAAGTCAGGGCCTATGTAAGCTTTTTCCAGCATGGCAACCCCCCTCCCCATCCTCTCCAGCCCTGTGCAGTGTCTCCATGGCAGCAGACACAGTGCTTGACCCTGAAAATGGGAGGATGCAGCTGGGAGGATACAGGGATGGAGAAGAAAAGGTTCCCTCTCTCAAGGCTGGGGCTCACAGACTCCTGTGTAGGCCAAGGAGTAACAACCCTTAAATACCAGGTAGAAATTGTGTGAGCTCAGGCAGCTGCCTGGCAAGTGTCACTGGAGAAAGGCAGGTGGCTGTGCCCACACTAAAAAAAGGCAGTTAGATGTTCCCTCCACCCAGAGGCCCAGGTTGGCCACAGCCCAGAGCAGTCAGTGGGTACACCCCACCAGACAGCTGTTTAGGGGAGAGCTGCTCAAACAGCCTTGGAAGGTGAGCAAACACTCGGAGGGTTAATAGGTAACTAAAGGCAAAAAGAGGAACAGAGCTCGGCCTCCCTTTCTCTTTGGTCTTGCTAGAATTTATGAGTATAAGCTCCAGGCTGACAAGCTGTTACCCTTGGGGCCTCTTTAGTCAGCCTGGCTCTTCTGTACCCGGGGAAGAATGCCCCACCATCCATTCTAATTCAGTTGGAAAGAGCCTTTAAAAGCACCAAGATTTAGAGTAGAGTACTTGCCTAGCACGTGTGATGTCCTGAGTTCCACCCCCAACACCACACACGTGCACATTCACTAGTCCTAAGATCCTTGAACAGTAATAGGAAGAGGGTCTAGTCACCATCTCTAGTTTCAGCCCCTGCCATCCCATCTCTCCTTCCCCTACTCACCTTGGTCACAGAACAGACCTCCCCAGCCCTCTTCACAGGTGCACTGCCAGGGGGTGCTGCAGGTGCCATGACGACAGCCATTGTGGGGGATACATTCATTGCATAGGCGGCCCTGCCAACCTGGACGGCAGCTGAAGGGCAAAAGGGAAGCTGAGTGTAAGCTGAGAGGCCTGGTTACAAGGAAGAGTCCCCCTACTCCCGCTTCCTGCCCCCAACTTACAGGCACTCTGCTGGCTTGCTGCAGTAGCCATTCTGTTCATGACAGCCAGAAAGACAGATAGCTAAGGAAAGGAAATAGAGCTGGATGAGGTTAGGGTACCAAAGCCTCAATCTCCTGTCCTGCTCTCCTGAGCTCACTTCCTACCATTAGCCTCCAAGAGGAGCCATGGTTATCTTAAAGGGAACCAGGGACGAGGGGGTGGGAGAGAACCATGCTGGGTGGAATGAAGAATAGGGATCCATGTGGGCTTATGGAGTCCCAAGTTACAGCATCCCTAGCTGGCCCTGAGGCCCAGCTAGTAGGTAACACAGACCCACTCTGAGGGAAGCTGAGACAACTATATAATATTTTCTTGGGGGAAATCCCCTTCCTTCCATTCCAGTAGGGGCCTGGCTGCTTACGCTGATCACAGTATTTCCCAGTCCAACCGGGCAGGCAGGACAGGCTGCCATCTGGCTCGCACACATAGTGTCCGAAGAGGTCATTGCGCTTCTTGCACAGACGGGAACAGTTATCTCCATAGTAGTTGTCACTGCAGATGACCCGGTAAGAATAGCGCAGTCTTGTGAGGGTCTTGTTTTGCTCATCTGGTTGCCAAGTCTGACCCACAGCAAGGGAGCCTTGGATGATGATTTCACTGATAAGTGCATCGCCTGGTAAAGCCTCTGCAGGGAGAGGACCGGGTCAGAGAGCCAGAGACTGCGCGCGGCCCACCACTGTCTCCTTCGCCACGGTGACTATGGTGGTCAGTTAACAACCAGACCAGTTATTCCAGATAACCCCACCTGCCAGCAAGCACAGGACAGAGGGTCCCAAAGCCTTGCTACTTAGCTTCCCAGGGTGTGTGCATGTGCAGGGGGCTTGATAGCATTCAAAAAGGGTACAATAGACGGATGTTAAGATATCCCAGGGTTGTGGAGGCAGATACAGAGGGGAAAGAGGAAAAGAGGTCAAAATGGAAAAAAAAAAAAATCTGATCCGAGATTTGGGAGCAAGGGGTTCTTTGGTGAGGTTTCAGGGGTTCTGCTCCAGAGGTAGGTATTTTTTTTTTCTTTTTTCCTTTTCAAAGTGAGAATTGTTGTGCTGGTGAAATATCCTTTTCCTCTGTGTCAGAACAACATCCCAAAGCCATTATTCCCTTTCCAAAGGAGCGGAATTCGCAAAAGGTGTAAAATACAGGAAGGGGCCCGTCAGCGGCGCTGGCAGCCTCGGCCTTTCTCACCGCCGTGCTCCCCGCGTTCCCACGCCAAAAATAACCCGCAGGAAACGCAATTGTGCTCTGAGTCCAGGCAGCAAGCGGAATCCGAGCGTCCAGCGCGGGGCGCAGCTCCGGCCAAGCTAAGCGTCCTGGCCCCCACCCCCAAGCCCGCGTTTCCCCCGCCTATAACAGGTTAACTCTTTCGGCGCTGCGTGATGTCGCCCCCCTGTGGCTGATGAATGAGATTCTCACCTGGCCTCAGGTCGTCTCCCGGTGCGTGCCAAGCTTGGATGCTGAGTGAGAAGGTACCCTGGGAAGCAAAAGGGGGGTGGGGACAGAGAGATAGCGATATGAGCAGGGCGGGAAAGGAGGGGTGCCTCGCACAGCAGCCTGTTTAATTAATCTAATTGCAGGATACAGTTACCGAGCTCAGGTCAACATAACTGGTGCTCGGGCAGCGCGAGCTGAGAAGACAGGGGAGGGATGTGGGATGCGGGAATGTAAGTGAGAGCTGGGGATGGGCGGTTGGTGCAGAGTTGGGGTATTGGCAATGAAACTGGGTGGAAGAAAAGCAAGAAACTAGAAAGACTAGTGAAAGCCCATTTTTGGGGGGGTCCTCTGAGAGAATGGAGGTGGGGGGGGAAG